CCATGACTACACAGCTAGCAAGATTCTGAGACAAGAAGTAAGCCCAGATATATCCAAGGCCAACGTGCTCATGTCATTCTGCCATTCATGATTTTTTCTTTTAAACTGTACCTATTATAGGCATCTCTTTTGCAGCTTATAGTCTCTCTTTTTTTAGGCAACTGGCGTTAAGTGACTTGCCCAGGGTTACACAGCCAGTAAGTGTCAAGTGTTTGGTCTGAGGCCAGTTTTGAACTCAGGTCCTTCTGACTTCAAGGCCAGTGCTCTATCCACTGTGCCACCGCAGTTTATAGTCTTACAGAGTTTCCTGGATCTCAGAGAGGTGCATGTGACTTGCCCAGGGTCACACAGCCAATTTACATGAGAGGCAAGACTTGAATCCAGAAGATGCATTACCATCTGATTTCCCACTGCCTCTAAACACCATAGGGACTTTTTATCTGATTCACAGTTGAACCCTCCTATATGTGTAGTCTCTATTAGAATATGAGCGCATTGAGAATAGAGACTGTTTTGACTTTCTATTCTTATCCCCAGAGCTTAACAGAGTCCTTAGCACATATTAATATATAAAAGTGGTTAATAAGTGCTATTCTTCTTAGTCATTCACTGCCCTGATTCAGGAAGCACCACAACCATCTGGCCCTACATTTGCATCTCTCACTTGCATTGTTGTCTATACTTTCTCCTTTTTCCTACTTGACTCCCAGCTTCTTCTACCCACAAGGCCCTTTACCCAAAAGGGCAGGGGAGAGGTGCCAAATTTAGTCATCTGTAGGTCAGCTCATTTTGGTCACCCACTGCGGGTACTTATCCCCAAGTCTTTTGAAACAAGTCCTGTGGGCACGTCTAAAAGGCCAGTTAACATATTTGTATCTTGGAGCTTAATAAGTGCTTGTTGAATTTTTAGAATTAATTATCTTTCATGTGAAAATGTATCAGATTAAAGAGGAGAATATTTTCTATTCTTTAACTACAGTGTACTCTTTTGGGGTAAGGCATATGGTATAATATCTATGCACAAATACACATATATGTGTGTGTGTGTGTGTACATATGTATAGACACACACACATATATATGTTTATATAACTTGGGGCTCAAGATGGCTGTATTTGTATAAAATTCTCCTTGTCAGCAAAGAAAATGATCACTTGATATTCTGTGCCTACATGAGGTGGGGAGTTGGTGAGAGCTTGGGAGAGAAGAGTTTTTTATTCTGGCTTCCATATTTGAGAGAAGACACGTGCACTCTTCAGAAAGCCTTTGGAGAGAAGCAGACATATCAAAAGCCTAGAGTCTGATTTCCAGGTTGTCACACGAGAAACGTCTGGAAATTTCACTTTAGGTGGTGGGGCTCTCTCTTGGTTGAGTTTAAATAGTTTTCTCCCAGTGGGAGAGTTCATTCCTTGCTGTATTGTTTAGTATATGCTAACCTACATAACTTCTCTGAGTTCTATTTATGATCAGCTTGGATAATGGGTTTACTCACTATTTATTAGTTGTGATAATGTTTGTGTAACTAGAATTTGATGGAAATGCAGTCAAGCCTTTAGATACAGCTTGGAATATTCTTTCCCATTAAGGCTTAGCAGCCAGGAAAAGCAGCTTGAATCTATAAATCATTTCCCCTACACTAGCTATATTTAAGGGGGCAGAGAGATATAATTCTAGTCTGGTGTCCCTTCTCTGAAGCAAGCAAAGCAAACAGGCTTTGTGACCTCAATCTCCTGTTCCCCTCCAGGAAGGAGCCAAAGCTTCCTTTGGAAGGAGATGGGTAATATTTCAGGGATACCTAAATAGGTTTCCCTGTGAACTTTATTTTGGCAAACCCATGTGAATATACTTACAAATATACATAACATAAATGGGCAACACACATATACTACATCTGCATATGCATACATATATGTATAATATATCTATCTATAGCACTGGAGGAATTCCTGCTATCAGTGTCTAATACTGTTCCTCTTCCATCTATGAAACCTGGACAGTATACCAGTGCAATGCCAGGAAACTGAATCACTTCCATTTGAATTGTCTTAGGAAGATTCTGAAGATCACCTGGCAGGATAAAGTACCAGACACCGAGGTACTTTCTCTAGCTAAACTGCCAAGCATTCAAACTCTACTTCAGAGGGCACACAATTCTTTTTGATGGGGTGGCCATGTGGTTTGAATGCAAAACACATGCTTGCCAAAAAGACTATTTTATGAAGAACTTACGCAGAAAAAGCACTCACATGATGGTCAGAAGAAGCGATACAAGGACACTCTCAAGGTTCTCTTAAGAACTTTGGAATTGATTATGTGACATGGGAGACACTGGAATAGGACTGCTAGGTGTGGTGTGCCCTCATCAGAGGAGGTTTGCTCTGTGAGCAAACCAGAATTGAAGTAACTCAAAAGAAACATGAGATGCTTAAATTGGGAGAATCCACCACAAATGCTCACATAAGCTATTTGTGCCTGACTTGTGATAGAACACTCTGAGCTCATAGTGATCTGATCAGCCACAGTCAGACACACTGTTAACTGACCCTAGCATAGTGATGCCATTTTGATCCTCTTCAACAATGAAGGACAACAGCCAACCAGCCAATCTGCCCTCTGAACAAGACTGTAAGCACTAGAGTATTTATGGCCGAAGGAAGAAAATTGTTCTCTGTTGTATCTGCTGGGGTTAAACGGCAGAGATAAAATTATGAATGTGAATCATTTAGTTAGGTACTGGAGGTTACTGAACCACCCCAATAGATTGGATACTCATTCGTTAGAAGATTTTGCTGTGAATAGAAAATGAAAAATTGACCCTAGAGTGAATGCTTTGCCGGGTCTCCACGTGAGTGGATTTTCAGGCAGTGGGAGTCTGTTGCCTAGCTTAATGAGGATAAAACAGGTTTGGGGATGTCTACTCTAAGTATAATAGTTTCATTTGCTTTGTTCATTTCTACTAGTCTGATTAAAGTTTGTGTATATTTTATAAGTGGATTTAATGAAGTATATAACCAGTGCTATCTGTGAAGTTGACTTTTTAAACAAGTGAAGATTTTTGCAATTTTTCTCTATTAAATTTCATATTATTTAATATTGCCCAGTGTGCAAGTCTATCAATTTTTTTCCCATCCTTACACATTTATCACATCCAATGTGATAAATATTCCTCCTAGTTTTGCAGACTTTTGAAAAGATTAGTGAGGCCAAGTCCCAAACCTTAACTATATAGTTTATTTCAATTAATTAATTAATTTTTAGTTTTCAACATTCACTTTTATAAAATTTTGAGTTCTAAAATTTCCCCCATCCCTCCCGTCCCCCTCCCCAAGAAAGCATGCAATCTGATAACTATACAGTTTAAATACCAACACCAGCACTTTAAAATAACAAAGGTGATTTTCTTGGCATCCCAAGTAACCAACTTTTGGTACAGTTGAAACTGAAATAAAACAAATGCACATTAACCATACATGCAGTACACAAATTGAATTGCTAATTACTTTATGGGATAAGGGGATGGGACCACACATGAGATCCCTGTGGGTCAAGTTGGATGCAGGCCCTGCTGCTTCTTTGGATACTCACTGAGAAAGATCACTATGGCAGCAAGTGAGGAAAAATGTTTGAATAATACTTATGTGTTGACTACCCAGAACCACAGCCTGAGGCTGCCTCCTTGAGGTTGGGAAGAAGCAGTTCTAGACTTTTTGATACCTGCCAATGCCAACATTTCTCTGACTAGCTTGTCCTCCAAATCTCTGCCTTGATCAGTGTGGAACTGAAAAAAACCTTTTTTTCCCCATAATACTTTAGCAAGAGTTAGATACCTTTTGGTTTCTTCAGAAGTTGGTCCCTTCCTCCCTTTCCAGTCTTCCTTCATCTTATACCCTTCTGCATAATGTCCTCCAGTGACACTGACCTCCTTGCTGTTCTGTTACATGACACCCTATCACTGACTCAATTTAGAATTTTCACTGACTGTCCTCCATGCCTAGAATGCCCTTCCTCCTCATCTATGCCTCCTGGCTTCCTTCAAGTCTCAGCTAAAGTCTAACTTCCCACCAGAAATCTTTCCCAGTCCTCCTCAAATTAAATGCCTTCCCTCTGGGATTATCTCCAATTTATTCAATATATATCATGTCTCTACATAGTTGTTTACACATTATTTTCCCCATTAGGGTGAGAGCTCCTTGAGAACAGGGCTGGTTTTTTCTCTTTTTTTGTGTGTATCTTAGTGCTTAAGCACAGTGGGCATTTAATAAATACTAGACAATTGGCTGGCTGACTGCAGTGGAAGACTTCTTTTGACTCTTCTAAATGGTCCATGTACTTTCTCTCCTCATTAGAAGGCAGGAACAACTCTTTTTCCCTTCATGCATAGACTTGCTTCATGTCTTTTATGCCAATTCTCATTTATAGAAAACATCAGACTAAAATATAGAGTTTGTTTCCTGCCCATTCCTCCTCTTCTTTTCTTCTTTCTCCTTTGATGACATTTGAAGATAGGGTGTACATGTTTTAGTTTTTAATTTAGGGTGTGTCTCTCTATGTCTTGAAGTTTGATCAGAGGGAAGAAGAAAACGTAAGAAACTGTGCCAGGAAATGGTCACAGAAGAGGTCACAGAAGTGGGATGAACAGTAAAAAAAAAAAAAAAGAGGAAAGAAAGTTTGCTTTTATTGGAGGCAGAAGGAAAAGAAAACTAGGTTGAATCATAATTCATTCTTGAGCTCTTGATTCTCAACCTAAATAATGCCGTGATTTCTGCCTACAAAATAAATAGAAGGAATCTTGTTAATATATATTCATATATATATATATATATATATATATACATATATATACACAAAAAGAACCACTACAGACAGCCAGTATCCTTATAAAGTATTTAATTTTAGTGAATTATAATATAAAGATTTTTTAAATTCTGGCTTTGTAAGATGTAGGCAAACAATAAAAAAGTGAAATATTACCTACTCAAATCATTTAATCTTATATTAGACTTTTTCCTTTAAAGAAATAAAAATCAGACTAATCAGCTTTGAAAAAAATTCTCTTACTGCCTGTCATTATACTATTGGAAATTACCCTGAGAACACCTAGTGTCCTAATCAAATAATTGATCATTGTCTTCATTGTCAGATGGCTCTAATCTCCTAATTGGTGACTAATTACCACTTCCACCTTGAAAATATTCAGTGGATTGGTCACTATCACTGTCACTTGAGTCACTGGAAGATGAATCACTGCTGTCATTTCTTTTAGGGGATTTAAACTTCTTATGGGAATGGGCATTTATAGGACCCCAGAATCTTTTCCTTCCAGATCCATGGTGGCTCTTGGTAGAGCTGAACTTTCTATGTGCTGCATAATGGTTTTTTCTGCTATTACCAGGGAATTTTGTGATACTTCTCTCTTTATTGTAGCCATCGTGAAGATTTACCTCATTTTTAATTTGATTTTCTCCTTTTAAAGAGTAGGTGTGACCATGAGAAGGAATCAGTAGGCCTTGACTTTTTCCTTTGTTGAAATTTTTTTCTTTATCATTTTTGGTATTTTGGTCTCTCTTAGAACTTTCTACTCCTACCTCAGTATTATCTTTGCCATGTTTAGAAATTTCTTTGCCTTTAATTATATCGTTACTCCCTTTCCTAGCATGTTGGCCAATACTGCTTTGCTTTTTCGAGGATCCTTGAGAGGGATGAATTCCTACTATCTCTTGATAAGAATCTCCTGTGTTGGCATCAAAACCCTCTCCTTCATTTCCAGGAAGTTCCTTATAATTTGTACTCCCTGTAATGACATTACTGCCTCTTACAATTTGATTATCAATGATGTTTTTCTCTTTTCTTGGTGTTTTACTGACATCAGTTCTAACAATGTCTCCAGTGGAACTTCCACCATTGGATTTCAAGTCATATTCCTCTTTTTCTGGAACTTCATTACTACTTTCCTTTCCTATGAGAAGTTTAGAGTTGCTGTTAATGACATTAGCTTTGTCTGGGTCTGTGGTTTTTGTGTCAGGAACAAACATTTCTCCACTAGAAGGAGAAAAGTCATTGTCTTCTTTCCCTTGAGCACTGCCTTCAAAATCAAATGTAAACTTTATGTGCTTTGGAGATATTGTTTTGGTATATTGAACATGACTAATGGTTTTGTGGTCTCCTGGAATATTTTGGTTTTGGACATCTCTTTGGTTATTAACAATGTCTTCATCTCCTTTGCGTTGGGCTTCAGGATATTTGTATATGGAATTCCCAATTTTATTCTCTTCTTCATCTTCCTCCATTACCCACAGTCTTGGAGAACTTGCGTATTTTCTACCGTGTTGGACATTTTTGTTAATGAGAATGACACGGTGTGCTACTTGGTCAGGAAGATCCTTATTAACACTGTCCCCATGGCCAGCTTTGGCATTTCCAGTGAACCCGGTGTAAATGGTATCCTCAAAGTCATGGTGGGAGGTCTTGCTACTACCAGTGTCTTGGTCTTTAATCAGCATTTGTTTGCTGGCCGAAATATCTTGGGATTTGTCACTTTCCTGGATAACATTTCCTTTAGAAGATATGTCTTGCTTATTTCCCTTGTCAAAGTGGTGAACTGGAACACGGTCTTTGTTACCTTCTTTTTGCTAAATTGTGTTTGCAAAAACAAGAAATTATTCCACATTAAATTTGGAAACATGACCAATATAAGTCACTATAAAATTATTTAGCAAATGAATAATAAAATCAATTAGTTAATTAAACAAATGTTTTTTTAAATGTCTACAATGTGTATAATACTGAGGTATATGCCAGAGTGGTGGGGAGGACAAGAAGCAAGTAAAGACAAAGTCTTTGCTTTGAGACTTAAGGGCTTATCATCTAATTGAGGAGATAAGACTTGTATTACCTATGAAAAATGAACCATATGAGTTAAGCAACATTAAAAGAGGTACCACAAATATGTGACTAAGTGCTCAATGAGTGAAAAGTCTATTGCTATAGGACTTCAGAGAAAGGAGAGATTGTTGAGAATTAGGATGGTCAAGGAAGACTTCATGAAGGGGGTAGGACTTGATATGGACTGGAAGCTGGACTTTGAAGTATGAGCAAGATTCAAAGAAACAAATAAAATTTCATAGACTTAGAACTGGAGCCAAATTCAGAGACTATCTACTTTAATCCCCTGATTTTATAGATTAAAAAAAAAACTAAAATCCAAGCTTGGATTATTGCAATAACCTTCTAATTGATCTCCCTGCCTCCAATACATTCTCCACTAAGTGGTCAAAGTGATTTTTTGTAAAGTATAAGTTTGTCTGCATGTCATTCCCCTACTCAATACACTCTTTTGTTATTCAGTCATTTTAGTCATGGTCAACTCTTCATGACCCCATTTTGGGGTTTTCTTGGCAAAGATACTAGAGTGGTTTGCCATTTCCTTCTCCAGCTCATTTTACAGATGTGGGGAAACTAAGGCAAACAGGGTTAAATGACTTGCCTGGGGTCACAGCTAGT